CGTTATTTATTTTGATCTTAGTAAAGCCTTTGATAAAGTGCCACATAAAAGACTCTTGATTAAATTGGAAGCTATGGGAATTCGCAGTCCATTAATAGACTTTCTCAGGTCATACCTGTCTAATCGTAAACAAAAGGTTTTGGTGGGATCTTCACTTTCCAGTGAAAGTCCTATTGTGAGCGGTGTCCTACAAGGTACCGTTTTAGGTCCTCTTTTGTTCTTGCTTTACATAAATGATATTTCAGCAGCAGTTAAACATTCTCAATCATTTATTTATGCCGATGATCTCAAATGTGTATATTCTTTCAATAAATCTACAAGCCTTCATTGCCTGGAGCAAATCCATGCTGACTTGCTTGCTCTCTCAGCTTGGAGCTCAAAATGGCTAATGGAATTCTCTCCGTCTAAATGTCGTTATATGTGTTTTGGACCTGATAGGCTACCCCAACTAGGGGTCTTTCAAGGCACACCTATGACTGAATGTACCACCATCAAGGATTTAGGTTTAAGCTTCACTAGTAATCTTGATCTCTCGCCGCACGCTGACAGAATTACAGCCAAAGCTGCCCAGATTTGTGGCTTTATTTCTTACAATTTCTATCTTCCTGAAATTAAGTTAAGGCTCTGTCGTATGTTTGTACTTCCCATTCTCGAGTATTGATGCCCATTCTTTGGTTTGATGAATGAAGCCAGTCGTTTAAAAATTGAAAATGTCCAAAGACGTTTTTCTAAAAAACTTTTAGATAGGGAACATCCCAATATCTCCTACTCAGATAGATGCCAGCTAATTAACCTAAAATTTTTATGGGTTCGAAGACTAGAAGCGGGCTTCTGTCTCCTATTTCGCATTAATCATAGTTCAAATTTTCCTCGGATTTCAACACTTACCCCTAGTAGTCGCCCATACAATCTTCGCAACTCGTCTCTAATTATACCTCCTCCAGCGTCCTCCACCTCTAAGCGCTCCCTTTTTTCGCTTCCATGTATACTTTCCTCTGGAATAACCTTCCAATAAATATAAGATCTTCAGAAAATCTACACACCTTTAAGAGAAGGCTACGCCTTTATCTGAATACTGACTCGATTAAACTTTTATTTTCCTCATCCTTCCCAGACAATTTCTTCTATGACACTGAGAAAGGCCCACCGGGAATTTAGCATGCCGCTATTAAATTTCCGTATCTGTTCACGTTTCCTTCCTTTATGAGTAGTCTCGCTACCTAAGATCCCTCACCAGAAATGTTAATTATTCCAATTTTTCAGTTCATGCATCGTGCCCTCACAGAATGCGCACCATCGATGCTCTTGGCGAAACCTTCTGTATTCGCCATACGCTAGTAGTCTGGTCGCATCTCCCTTACCCCATGTTCGGATGGACTCGGTTGAATGAAACCGACCGCATCTGGGTTCCTATCGCCTCGTGACTGATCTTCATGATGCCCTCATTGAATGCGCTCCATCGACGCTCTTGGCAAAGCCTTCTATGTTCGCCATATACTAGTAATCTGGTCGCATCTCCTTTGCCCTATTCTCGGATGGACTCTGATGAATGTAACAGACCGCATCTGGGTTCTTGTCGCCTCGAGACTGGTTGTCATCGTGCCCTTACAAAATGCGCTCCATCGGCGATCTTGACAAAGCCTTCTATATTCGCCATATACTAGCAGTCTGGTCGCATCTGCCTTCCCCCATGTTCGGATGGACTCGGTTGAATGAAACCGACCGCATCTGGATTCTTATTAGCTCGAGACTGGTTTTCAATTTCGCCACTTATTTTTCTTATTCAAGGCGATACAGTCCAGTCGTGACCGACCCGCCTACGTACCATTTTATGAAATCCGTCACACAATGCCATATACAGCTGACATTTATTTCGGCCATGTTGATGTCGGACTATATTCCATTCTGTACCGCCACATGCAGGCCAGTCCTCCCTGTATTTTTCTGATGCTATTTTTCTGAGGGGTCTTTTTTCTCCTGTTAAATTACTACAATCATTTTTAAATTTTGCTTTGGAGTTTTTTTTCACCCCTCGTTTTTTTCATTTTCATTTTGCTTAACGGACTTCTAATCTCAAAAACTATGTATTGCACTTTGTACAGATTTTGCCTACCTCGTCTAAAATTCGCATGTAAATTTTTTTTACTTGCTTTGATGGGACCCCGACGGGTCTTTAATAAAAATAACTGAATTAAATTGAATTGAAGCCAAAAAGGACCTCGGTGTAATGATGAACAATTTCTTAAAAGCGCCCGCTCATTGCTGGAGAGTCTCAAAAGACCAATGTCCGTATTGCACCCCATCAAGAAAGATTTTATGGGTTTTGATGACGATATCTTCTCAAGGATTTTTTGGCAGTGCATAAGTATGAATTATAAGTAGGCCATACTAATTTCTCATCGGAACTTAGATCATCACCTAAGCCATCGGTACTCAAAGCAAAATTACGTAAGCCTCTTACACAGGATAGTATAAAGTCACCATTCAGCGTTTCATTCCCGAACACTCAACTCATTGACTTTGGGAAGGGTACTCCTGGGATTTAATGGAAACCCGCACTTATGTTTTAACAATCCTCCTGTGTTTAATTGGCTACTGCATTCAGTGTTATTACATTATCCCCGCGGATATTAATGTAATCTCGTCACTTCGACCCCAAGTGGTCTGTCGATGCTAACGGCGGAATCTTCTGTATTTTCCATCTACTAGTAATTTGATCGATCAGCAAAGAGATCTAACAGTCGTATCTCTCTAGCTCCCTCCTCGTCTGGGCTCGAAGCTGACTGTGACCGATCTCGTCTGGCGTCCTTTCATATCGCCGCTTTGACGCGAATAGCCTCATCTCGCGTATGAATTCTGCCTTGACGATGTCTGTTTCGAATCCCCTATACACATATAGGCTTATGACAGCTCGCGTCTCCTTGCCCCCCGTCTTTGTCGCTCTGCCTTTCTGTCCGTCTTACACTCCCAGTCGATCCGCTGCTGGGACACGCGAGGGTTGTCACTAGCCTCGCGAGTCCTCGAAGCCAACCAGGCGGTCCCCTCTCTGAGTCGCTGGAGGCGCTGAGACAACGAAAGGCGCACACACGCGCTGGGTCTGAGCACCTCGACGGCGGACACAGACGACACAACATGCCCGGAGAACGCGCTCGTGGCGACAGCTTGCAGAGCCTTGTGTACGAACTCCCACAACAGTAAAGGTTCCCCAAACCAACCCGTCCTGCCTGACTACTGATTTGGAAATATTTGTCTGTCGACCACACTTCTTCCGACAGGCCAGTCCTGTCCGGCCCATATGCTTACCCTTTCATGATTGACTGCACCCAAATTCACGATGTCAGTTAGGTACGCAAAGTCAGGAACCTTTTTTTTCAAAATGCGAACTGGAATAATCCCATTGGTGTATTTGTGAGATCATATTCAGTACAGCTTCTTGTACACGTAATAAGACGCGATTCCTGGACAGACGTGTCTTGGCACTGAATCCATAACCCGTGTAGAGTTTAAGCTGGTTGGGGTTCAATAAGCGATTGTCTTTAATGACGATTATAACTAGCACACCGTTATGTGGTTTTAACTTAGATCTTTGATGTCAGGTGTATGTGGGACTAGTTTAAGTTTCAGACTACCGTTAGTGATGTTGCGGTAGGTATTATATGGTCATTATTTTCAATTCGAGCCTGACTGGACGTTCGAAGACAGGGTGGGCTTGGGAGTGGGTTATGATGGTCAACAAACGTAGGGAAAAGTCACAGTCAGCCTATATAACCAGGACTTTTCAGAATTAAGGCCTAACGCTGTAGCAAATAGTGCCCATGTTAGAGCCGAAGAGGAGGAAGGAGTAGGCGGCCGATGTCGTCTACTTGCGGACCGATTTCACTCTTTGAGATGTAGTACGGCAGCCGACCGAACAGAGGTACTGCGCTATAGCTCCCTCAAAAGAGTACTTTAAATGCTGTTGTATTGAATGAAAACGTGTTCCTTAAAGGCTTTGAATCCTCCGTTTTTGTTTCCATATGCATGCCGATTTTGTGAGAGAGCGACTAGTATGTTCTATTTTAAGTGCACATCGATAAAACAACTGTGCAATGCTTTCTTGTAAGATTTATTTTGTCCTACTTGTCTACGTGCGTTAAAGGCAACTTCGTGATGGAATGTTTCTGTATAAGTGGCTAAATTTTAATGCCGACCTCACGAAAAAAAGAAGGAAAGTGACCGGCGTTGTGTTAGTCAATCCAGTGTTAGCAAATAGACTTGAATCAAAAACACTTCGAGCTAAGAAGAAGAAGGCAGTCGGAAGGCAACGGCAGTGTTACCGTACTTCCTAGTTAACGAAGGAGACATTAAGGTCTCCATGAGATATGTTTCCGCATTTACATGACGTCATTTTATCGATGAGTAATTTGATATTTTTAGCCTTCGGGCCTTGTATAACGTGACGAAACACAGCTGAGATATTGTGTATGTGAATCTATAAGCTAATAAGGCGCAGATCCATATTGATACCATGGCGTGCGAGGATTCTAAAATTCGAGTACTAGCTAGTACAAATGACAAATCTGTTTATCTGATTACCCATTCTACTGCTTTCTATGGATGCGCTATATTCTTTATTAACTTAATCCGAGTACTGTAAATCGCAGTCCCTCCAGGCCTCAATAACAGTTATCAGCTACAAATCGCTTGGGTTGTGTGAGGCTATGTTCGACGATACAAGTCCTTATACGCGTGCATTTACGCTGGCTCAGTCCCATCAAATGGTCGGCTCCGGTTGAACAATCTCCGGAATGCAAGCAGCATTGAGGCGACACTCGGCGTTGCCTGCTGTCTTTGTAATTTTTGTCGGGCACTGTAAAAATGTAAAAACTTGATATTTGGAAGGACAGATATGCCAGTACGTCTGATTTCCAAGGGTTTTTAAGTTTTCGCCTTCCTTATTTTAAACAACCACGAGTAAAATAGGGAGGGGCGCGAGGAACGGTTTTCTATTACCAAGGGTGATGACCTGGCGTCTGAGGTGATTGCGTGGTCACCTGCGCGTCTTTCAAGCTTTCGGCTATCTTTTATTAGTAATAGTGGCACGTTTAACAGTCTTTTGTAACTCTTCGAACTTTTCCTCGAATTGCTTTGACAGTCTCCGTTTCATTGACATTCGTAACAAGCGGAAGGTGAGTTTTATTTCTGTTTGCCTAACTGTAGTCGTTTAAAGTCGGTAATATCAACCGTTTACTCCGCAAATGAATGGAGAATTCGATTCCGACCTGAAAAGTCAAATTTGTCAATTGACAATGGAATCCGCACGAGCAAAAGGTTCTGATGAAAGCTTTCCCAATCAAGAAACAAAAATAACAAATCACAAGCCAGCCAAACCGGGCGACATAACCGCCCAGTTCGGATTTGTCGGACCATTCGTATCTAATCCATCGAAATCCAGTTGCCGAGGAGATGGCAGCGGCGAAGTTCAGAGTTGTGGAGCCGATAGTGGGATGTGTCGACCCGTGCTTAAAGAGTCATTCAGCTCCGTTGCGTCGTCAGCGTCAACAAACCAGAGTAAGCCAGCGTGCGTAGTAAGTGTAACTGCGCCTTACGCGAACGATCAAAACATCACAAATTCCGATTCCTCAACCGTGTGCTCGACGGGTGATCCCATTCACAACACCATCGATTCACTCAAGGCCTTATCCTTAAAGTCCGATTCCTTGAAATCCTCACCGAATCCTGTCAATAATCAGGGAGCCGTCAAATCTAGGTCAGGCCCCTTCAACGCTCTCCCAGTTGAAGTTCATTCGTTCGATTTTGAAAAAGGCCAGGCAAGTAACAAGCTCGAAGGATCTGGCTTCCTAAGTGAAACTCTTCCAGGCAGCTCGATAGGCCAGGGAAAATTTCAGGCCCAGTCCTTATCAGATGCCTCCTGTTTGATGGACACTAACTTTCCGGTTTCAAATTACCGCAGTCAGTTGGGCGGAGAAGGCGATATTGCTCAGTCTATTAATACTACCGAAGGGCATTGCATGTCTTTAGGTACTGCCACCAACACTGCCAGTAATTTGTACTGGAGCTCTCCTGGGAACAATTCGGGTGAAGACTTCAATAGTCTTCAAGCCGCACTCTCAATGAACAGTATGTCGCCTTTATTGTCTAACTTTCTTACGCAACAAGCCGGTAATTCTATGAATGGTAGCGTTTCTCACTCGCCCAGCTCGGCATCAGTTGCCGCTGCTGTTGCTGCAGCGGCTGCCAAACGTGCAATCACTGGTGGACACCAAAATACGCGCTCTGGAGCTTCGTCTAGGCAGCCGTGCTGGAACCCGTCCGCCACCGCTACTTTCGACCAGAATTCACTTGTTTCCGATCAATCGGGTCCCTGCCCTCCAGTTTCCTCTATGGGCATGATGAATTCGAAGCCAAACTGGATGGCGAACTTTGGTAACGGTGTGAACTCCTGCCCTTGGAACACATCTAATATCCTTCAGCAAAACGTTTCAAAGGCGAATTTCACCGATGCCTCAGCCGCTAGTTTGTCATGCACCAACGGAAACCTACGTTTTGGCCTGAATCCAGTCAATCTTTCAACAGCTGGAGTGGGTTCGAACACACTTATGAAGACTCCCAACTCTACCGGCTTAGCAAATATCTACAACATGTTTCCCAAGCGCCCTCAGCACCGCATGATGGCACACTGGCAACAACAACAGCAGCACCAGAACTCCCTACAAAGTGGCCATGTTCAACAAGCTTCTCCTGGAGTGATCGTCAACAAGATCCAGAATCCAGCCTTTTCTTGTTCCTCAATGCTCACCCCTTCATTTACTACACAGGACTGCATACAATCGTCGCCACTCAGTGAAACTGCAGGTGTGGGGAATTCTAAGGCCTCACATAACACGTATGCAGCCGTTGGTCAAAACCCTGCAGTCGTTAACACAATATCAAACAGCTTGCTTATGACCAATGGTATGGAAACTATGGGTGCCACGTCGGTTGCTGCTGGTAACTCAGAGAAGCTGTCCGCGCTAGACCCTTTTAAATTTGGCTTTGATTCTCAACTGTTGGAAGTTATCAAAACGCTGGACGCTAACAATAGTGTGACAAACAGTCTACTCGACGACTTGTCCTTAAAGAATTTAGCAACCTCTGATGGATTTCAAAGTGCAATGATGAACCAGATGTCAGGTGTTCCACCACCCAGCTGCAGACCTAGCGGTAGTATGTTGTCTTCAGCGGGATTTCAAAACCAATCTTTGACGGGCATGGGCCCATCGTATGCATTTCTCTCTGGTATGTCACCCCGCGAGGAAGGTTACTCTCGCAAAGTGTTTGTTGGTGGCCTGCCTCCGGATATCGATGAAGGTGAGTAGTCTTTTCATCCTGATTGTAAACTGACTTTCACAAGCACTCCCCTTCTAAATTTCACTGTATATGTTAGAAACTATGCTCCTACACCCTCGCTTTGGCCGTATTTCATAGTCTTACGCACGCGTATTTCGCAATATTTTCAACGATGCGTCGAATTGGCTAGGAAAAAATTTCCACCGTTTTTTTCATGTTTACAATTCTTTCTGACATATCATTATTTTTATGCGCAGAGGAAATCACCACCGCCTTCCGCCGTTTCGGGCCGCTTATTGTTGACTGGCCTCACAAGACCGAAAGCAAGGCATATTTCCCTCCGAAAGGCTAGTGAACGAATCGTCTCATTTTCTATTGCTGTCGGAATTGTTACATTGTCTCTTGTGAAGTGCAGCCTTTTTATCATGAGCCACTAGCTTGATATGTTAGCAGCGGTTGTGGACCCTGTGTTTCCTTATCGCGTATCGCATCTTATCAACCTTGGCTACCAACCACTTACCACGTCCCGCGGGATCAGAGGTTTGTCCTTCAGCCTGTGGCTCAATTTCCCCGGAGGAAGTCATGGATACAAGTGTGAAGCCTTCGAGATGGACAGCACGCCTATTTACGTTCACAGGTCTTGTTTTCGACAATCATCACTGTGTTATAATTCCGACCAGCTTTACTGCAACGTGTATGTGATGCGATGGCGAGATTCTTCCAAGCCGAGTTCCATATTAATCTTGAATTTACTGGCCAAACATTTTAGCGCGGAGCATCCAGTAGTCGACCGCCGCTGCTCTGCTTACTCCATTACGCCGTTGGGCTTAGTTCTTATGATGAATAATGAAACTGGACGGTGCCGGCAAAGTTATCGCTGCGATCAAGGCCTGCTATTGCCTATAACTTGTGATTTATTCTTTGCAACCTCTCACGATAGTTCGGCCAGGTGTTCCACATGGGCACACGCTTTATTACCCGGCCTACTTAACAACGTTGTTGGTCAGTCCATTGTTGAAAATACTGTTTATTGTTTGTCGGCGCTGGCCGACTTCAGGAAACTACTGTCCTGCTTAGCGTTTCCGCTGGCCGAAGTCGTCAAATGGGACTGTTTGCATTCGCTGCTCCATCGCGATTATACCTCCAGCACTAAAGACGGACGGTTCACTGAAGCCAACAAACAGGCGACCGCCGAAAAATTAGACTAAGTACCATCCGTTGAGGTGTAAATGCGGTCCTTGGATTTCCAGTATCTCGGTTTTCGCCGCGAAAACCGACGACGCATCGAGCTCATCGGGTCGGCTGTGGCTGGGGGCCGTAGAAATGCTCTATGCTGGAGATCCCTTAGGCCGTGTAGATCTCATGCTTTATCACAGTCATGCCAAATTCAAACAGTTGACGTTTTCCAGGTAGACGCTCTGGCCTCCTTAGGACGTGACGCATTGGCTACTGCCTTTACTTCTATGTATTGTAATAACTGCCCAGTTGAGCTAGTAGGACTGCGTCCACAGTGCTAAAATTCATCAATGCACATACTCAGTAAAGCTTTTCGGTCTTAACTACTAGGGCTTCAGACTGGGTGCGATCATTTCGTAAGCCAATGTTAAGTTCCCTAGTATTTTATGTTGTCATCAATGTGAGAGCCCTAAAAAAATTGTTCTCTTGGGAGCTTTTATTCACGCTTTAACCAGATGCACCAACCGATGTACCAGTTCGCTGATCCAAGAGTTGTCCTGAGAATTGCGAATGATGTAAGCTTATAATCTGCAAGTACCGCGCTTCCGACTGTCCGTTTCTCTGATGTCAGCAAACCGTAGGCTTTCGTTTGAGTATCTTGCTTTTAATTTTGCTTGACGAACCACCAGAATTTAGCAAGTATCTATCACTTTCAGGGTACTGCTTCCTGCTTTTCCAAGAAGAACAATCTGTGCAGAACCTGATCAGCGCGTGCATCGTTGATGAGAACAAGTATTACTGGTGTGTTTCATCACCTACGATGAAAGATAAACCAGTAAGTCATTTTTAATCCATTATGCTATTCAAAACTGTATAGCTCTTTACTCCACGTTTTCAAAAGTTTCTGCCGTTGCGTGTACAATCGCCCTATCCGTTTTTCCTCGCTTCAGTAACTACACATGGACAGTTTTTATGCAGCGCGATCTTGACTTTCGGCTGTTTCTCCAACAAAGCCATCTTATGCCACCTGATAGAATGTGCCTTTGATATTTTTGATTTTTGGTCCTTTTCTGAATAATTGATTACTTTATTCGGGCACAATATTTAAAACTAGTTTAAGTATGAGTACTTAGACTACTAATGACTCATCTTTTCCATCAAAAGGTTCAAATACGTCCCTGGAATCTAGCTGATTCCGACTTCGTCATGGATGGATCACAGCCACTTGACCCACGGAAAACTATATTTGTCGGAGGTGTGCCGCGTCCGCTTCGAGCGAGTACGTTAACTGCTTTGTTTCTTCTTAGCTGTTCTGTAAATCGTCGTTGTCATCTACGTTAATCCCTTATTAGTTATGTCTTGTATGAACCCATGGTCGTCCTAGATCCTTTTCAATTCCCATTTCGACATCTAAAAGGTGCAAACTGTCCTGTTTTTCTTAAAGAGCACTTCGTAGTCGACCAACACGAATCAGAATTTTCGAAAATTACCTACAATTGTTTTCCATAGTTCGAAACACCTGAAAGTATCGCCTCATGATATTATTGGTGCAACTACCAGATCGTGGAGGTGATTTATATGATTATTAATCCTTTTCATGAAGCCAAACAAGTCCGTTGAATTAATTTTCGGCCTGTGAGTTTGCTCTGCTGGTTTTCATAACAAGCTCTGGTACGTTATAAATAATTAAAAAGACCAGATTTCAGAGCATCCTTCCGAGCTCACCTTCACATCTTGCTATTGAAGTACAGAGTTTCGTTTTTAAAGCGCATATCTGGTAGGAGAGACCTCCCCAACAGAACTTGTACAATGTGCATGAATCATACGTATTGATTGTTAAAGCGAACTATTGCTTGCCTTGAAGACTACGTTTGATCTTGCCTTAGAACAGTCCCGTCTGTCTGCCTATCTCGACTTTGTTTCGAATTAATCTGTCTCAAAATGTCGCAAAAGCACACCTGACATCCTATGGCCGGTTTCTTACGACATTCTTCAAATTGAATGTCACGAACTAGGTTTGGCCGAAGTTTGTCAATGTGTTTTTCAGATAGTAGTCACATTACCAGCCTAGTCGACTTCCAACTGGCGTCTTCTGCGTCGCAAATGGCTGCAGCAGGTTCACCGTAGCAGACTTCCTTGAGTTCTCCCCAGTCGTAGTATACTGATAGAAGGAAGGAAGCGTACTGCTGAGTCAGGCTTTACCGATATCTGGCACATGGTCTACTTTATCAAATACTACAATTCTAGCGGCGGCACTGACGTGGCGACCATGAGTCACCACTGCCACCGCCGACTTGCAGTTGAGCACGAAATAGTAATAGCGCCAAAGGGGTCGGGCTCGAACAACTGGTTCAGGCGGCTGTTGGAAACCTGTACTGCGGATTCCCAGGACTCAGCAAAAGTATATGCCGGCCAAATCAGGCATGGTAAGGACCATGTCAAGTGCAAGTTAGAACAATCTCTAGCTTAGAAGAACCTTCTCCTGCGATTATCGCCTCCGGGTCCCTTTAAGACCGACCAAAGACACTTGACAATTCGTGCTTTGAATCGACTTCTAAGTCGCCAAAGAGTTGACTTTTGATGGTATAGATGCCAGTTGCATCTGTTTTTTCGATTTGTCCAACTGTACACCTGGTTGGGCAAATACTCCCGATAGTTTTGCAGAGGATATCAGATATGGCAGTCACCACGAGCCTCACGTGTATCGGGCGTCAAAAATGGAGCACGTCACGTCCATAACACTGGAAGATGCCTGAATTTGCAACTATCACCTTAAGAGGGATATTTTTAAACCGGATATTGGCATACTCATAATGTATTACCGCGTGCACTGATGGCCCATGCGTATACAATCTCGATTTCGATGGTGGGAAGGGCTTTTCCCATACAAAATCTCTCTTTACCGCGCGAGGTGCAAACAACAATTTTTTTTATCACAAACGGTTGTTCTCTGCGTCGTTTATAGGCAAGTTGATGTACAGTCTCCGAGCAGTAAACGTCTACGGACAGCACAGCGTCTGGGCAGATTGGATCCCTGTGCATATTTCTCCCCGAGGTTGCTATTCAAGTTGTGACTGCATTATATGTTACTTACTCGTTGGGCAAGGCTTTATTTCGCTCTTTCAAAACTGCCCGTAGAATGTTTAGACAGACGTGTCCTCGCTGCTTCAATCTTAATCGCTGCCCTTTCTCATATTTGAGCTCACAACATTTGGCCCACACTTGCGTGAGACTAATTGCGCTTCACAAGTCTGACTCACTGTTTTTACTTTGCACATTTTTACTGTGCCACTTGCTGTTTTACCACCTGCTGCGGAACACAAACGTTTCTGCACCATATAAAAGTTCTTAAAAGTTTATTTCCCCAGGCGTACCTACGTCCTCAAAAACTCGTTAAGCGTGTCGTGACTCGTACCGTTTCGTCAAAATTAACTAATCTCTACCTTTGATAAAAACTATGTTCACCGCGAAGCCCACACGTGACTAAACCCACGAAGTTCGAGAATTCCGGGCAACTCAATAACCGACCCGCGTGTGTTGACGAAAAACTTAAATTTGGTAAGAGACCATAGGTAAAAATATAATTTGCAAAGATATCAAAAGCCGCACTGCATCTGTTCTGTTTAAGCTGTGAATGAACCTTTATACGACCTAACGTACCTTGAACTCGTTCCTATGAGCCCTGATGACATGCCGAAACAAAAAACATGTCGGCTGATACACGATGCTTGTCAGGTTTGCCAATTTGAATTCACTGAGCCGAAAACGTTGTTCATTTATTAAAAGTAATGTGGTCTTGAACACCTTGCCTCGACTTATTCGCACAAAAGATATCGATTTTCATTTCTACGACGGCTGTACATTTTTATTTTTGTCACTCATATTAATTCCTGTCCACAGGTGGCTGTGTACAAACACGCAGCTATTAGCATAGGAAACCGCTTTATTATGAAGGATTGCCGATCTTTACCCAAAATATCTCTTTTAAGTTTGATTCAGAGCATATTATGCGTGAAAAATAATTACGAAGGGCTATAGGCTAGCAAAAAATGACCATCCGGAGTTATTCACCATCATATCACCATCTCAGTTTTGGTCACGACCCTTTGTTACTTTCGCCACCCGTGCTTGTCGACTGCCTAGTTATCACCTTTTCCCAGAGAATTCATAACTAGGTGCCATTCACGCTTCCCTCTAGACCCGGCATGAATGGGCACAGAGCACTAAAATTCGCGTAATCCGATCATGTGCGTCACATTGCCACCAAACACACTGCACGGGTAAGACGTGCCGGTGGGTACAATCATGCGCGAAAGCCCTTTTAACTCAGACATTGCCGCGACTTGAAACCATAACCACTCAGGGTTTGGTTGGAATGCTCTGCAATGGGCTTGACGGAGCGTAGGGTAACATCTTCAGAGCAGTTGAAATTGCTGTCTGTGGAAAGAACTGGTTTGTTCAACCATTGGCAGAATGCTGTCAAAGAGTGACAGCATATGGAATAAGAGGTCTTGTCCCTGACAATAAGTATACCGCTTTGCATTCGGATTACCAGTTTCAAAACATGCGGCATAGCCAGCGGTATCTAACCGTTTTTCGACCTAGTTTATCATCGGGTCCCAATCGTCTGGGTTCATTGTTCATAAAGCTGCACCCGTGTCCTATTAATAACCCGAAAGCAATTGCCCTCAATCGATGACTGACCATCAGAAAGTTGCTAACTAGGACACGGGGCCCTGAAACGGCAATTTCTGTCTTATTTCTAATCGTCAGCCGACTACACTCCAGTCTCAGGCCATTCCTCAAATGACTTCAAGTATTTCCAAAGGCAGCAGATAACGTGAGCTCGTGGTTCAGCTCTTGGAATCCTTTATTCTATGTTTGACTTGACCCAGTTTCAGACACCGGAGTTCTTCCTCGTGGAATCGGGTAATGGCGGTAACTAAGTCGGAGATGGTCGTTCCAATGTCTTTTCCTTTAGTTGGCAATATTTCGCAATGCGTAATTGCTCTTTCCTGTGTAACCGCCTGCAAGGGCCTGGGATCGAACCTCGAAAGCAAGACCGACAGCCTGTCTTGTCATTCCAAAATCATTGATGAGCTTATTCCAAACATGTCAGTTAAGTGTTTTGCTATAACCATCGGAGAACATATGGAACGTTCGCTCTCGCCATTTTCTGGGCAAAACAGTGTGATTCTTTTTGCGTACTTTGGCTGGCGCCTTCAATACCAACTGGCTTAATCTGATGGAAAACATGCCAGCGCTGAGTGTTGTGGCTGGATATCAGTCATTTATGACCGTTGATACTTTTCCACTAAAACAATAGGCTTTTATATTTTGCGTCCTGGCGAGCCTGCTCACTCTCATGGAAGTCGAAGACACACTGCTGTTGACTGTGTCAGGATGCATTTTGAAGCGAGATTAGTCCTGTTGGCCGCTTACTCGTTGTTTTTTATAACTGCATGCCCCACTTTCCATCCGAACGTCCCCTCAAGAGTGTTCAAGCAGCCACCATAATGTTCTCCGTGTTTGCTTTGACCTCATTAGGTCAGCTTGCTTGGTGAATTTCGCATCAGGCCACTGCGAACTTGGCCAGCATCATCACGGCCGTCTGGGTGCGGACTATTTGCTGTCAAATTTGGCGCACTGTAACCTAATCTGCATCGCGTGGGGTGCGTAACTTTCGTGCATCTGCACAGAGGCCACTCCTCTAAGGTGCGCAAACGCGTACAAGGTTGTGTCTCCTTAGCTTTCACCAGGACGATGTGCTGGAGTAACACTAGCTGAATTATGTCAATAGAGTCATTTCAGAACTGGTTGGCATGTGCGAATAGTTTAGGTTATTAATAGCGTACAACGATGTTGCCATTGTTTTCCATTTGTAGTCAGATTTACCGCCTGAATAGTCCGTCTAGCTTATTACGCCCAGTGCGTACGACATGATCAATATGTCTTCCCGAGAGTCAGCTTGATTCGAAAGTTGGTTTGTTTAAAAAACCCCAGCGCTAAGTAAGTCAGCATTAAATTGTGCTGACATCTCCGTAGATCCTTAACCGTAACCACCTCGACCGTCCTTGCCGAAGCCAAGAATTGTTTCACATTTTGCTTGTCCAAACTGAACCTAAGGGGAGAAATTCAAGACGAGACTGCTGATATCCCTGGTGAAGGCAAAGTTTGTAGAAGTTTTGAACCTTCCTACCCCTTCACGATAGGTTATATTGCCACTGATGGAGCAGAATGGATCGATTGCAAAATGCGTATCGAGGACCGCAGCACAATACTCAGTTCTTGTTGGCTTCCCTCAGGGGAGTCTGAAACGAATTTGCGCCTAGTAGTTATAATATTTATTTTTGCTAAAAGCAACTAAAATAACTTCTGTCCCGATGGCGCACCAGTGAGCTGCGTCTGAAATTGCCTAAAGTCTTACGGACCCGCGCGACATCTCCCTCACTCCCACCACTTTCCAGTGACGACGAAATGGAGGCCATATGACGGATGTGAATACATCCACGTATATGCGTACCACAGACATGCCAACCACTTTACCCAACTTCAATAGTAGTCTCGAGTCTCATTAAAAGCACATGCCAGATGAGTTATCCCACCAGTTGACAGCTGTTCAAGCTAAGACTCAGCTCGTAGTAACAGTTTAAAGACGTCAAACTTGTAGTTGAAAAAGTGTACCCCGGATCGTCACGGAGAAGGTTTGCCCAGGGTCGACCTTAATCTTGCCTTTCCTTTGGATCAAACCGACCGGAGATGGGATGTGGGTCGGTGGCTGACGTAGCTCTAGCTTCCGTCTCACGCATGTCACATGCCTGCGTGGAGCTCTTTGCGGTCTAACGCAACGGTGTACCTGTTTGCCGGTCAAATCAAAGTACGTATGAATCTTGGGAAATGTTTCCTTAAAGAAACGTAACGGAAAGCGTATGTTCAAAAGTTCTATCATGTTTTCAGTTTTGATAATCTCGTAGACAGAAATAGTACTGAGTTATTTGTCACTCGAAACGTCTCGGGGCATAATACCGCTTCTCTGTCAATTATTGACCGTATCTCGGGGAGGTGTAACTCGTGATTGTTGCGCGTCAAAATAGCGCCTGTCTTTTGGCGATTGTTGGCCTCCAAACAACCAAGTGTCTTAATCGTATGCCTTTACCAGATGTGCGTTCGTGCTCATTGCCTCATTTCAACTTTGGGTGTTTGCTCTTTCATTGTTAGCAGTTGCGAATGCGGTTTTGAAAGTAAGTTGCGCAGTATCGTCCTCTCTTAAACTATTTTTTATTATCAAAGACTTTTTGTCCGACTCAGCTATATTTAAACCATGCCTCTGCCAAAGGTTACTCATTGATTTCAGTCGTTTAGCATAAGCCAACTACCGGTCCAGTACTGGAGCAGAAGACCTCAAGGATTTGATGACCTTAATGGTCGATCTCTTCACTACCAGTATAGGCTCAACAGTTAGGGTTGCAACTTTGGTCCCGCAATCGAATCCTGCTGGTAGTTGATTATTTTAATGCCTAAAGAAAAAACACCGGTTAGCCCAAACGGCTAGGGTGAGTCGCAACTTTCTAAAGCACTATTCAGAGAAAGCGTTAAGGCAGCCACAGAAAATCACGGAGGCCCACATCAGCCGTATGTAACTTTTCCGTTGGAATGGTACTCTTCGACGACGATTACTTTAATTCCCCCAAGTTTTCTCAAACGTGTTGGTTAAGGTGTTTCGCTCTCTTCTTTTTCACAAGCCCTTTTTGCCGAAACGTAATCGTAAGATTCGCGAATCTTCTGCTTGTTTAATTTAAGACTGGTGTCTCAATGGGCAGTCCCATACAGTTATCAGTAAGTGCTTTATTCGATTTCTCCTTTGCGTCTGATCGAGCATTTTGTGTCTTAGTGTCCTCATTTCCTTGCCTCAATGTCTATACACTTAGTTTGTCGGTTGTAATACTTATCGTTCTGATGGCTGGCGTTATCATGTATTTTACTGGTATTTCAATTGCTGCTGTCGATCAAAGTAGTACAACCCAGTTACGACACTTACGGCAGACTGTGGAAAATATGAAACCCGTGCACCCAGGGGGGTGCTACCCACGAAATAAAACAGTCAACCCCCCCCCTCCCCACACCTAATTTTCGTCGGGCTTAGGAATTGATCTATATTCCATTCTGACTCTCAAGGGATCCTGTTTTTATCCGAAAGACGATTATGCTGGATTACGAAGAAACCCTACTATGTTATGTCACACTAAACTAGACTGGTTTATCATGGTCTTCAGAGTTCAGCGTCGTCTGACTTTTGGTTTCTGAGAATTTGCACTTAGTAAGCGCGCTACTTGAGGCCTCGAACGTTATTGTAATAACATCACGGGCTGCTATTTCCAGCGTGTTTATCGCCTGTTTTGCAGTTGAACTGGCCCTCATCATGGACCGGCTCTATGGTGGTGTCTGCTACGCTGGAATCGACATTGACCCAGAGCTCAAGTACCCCAAAGGTGCTGGACGCGTTGCTTTCTCAAATCAACAAAGTTACATTGCAGCTATCAGCGCAAGATTTGTCCAACTTCAGCATAATGATATTGATAAACGAGTAAGTCAGTTGTGCACGGAATTCATATGTGAAATTCCCTTTGTGCGAGTTTGTATTACCGAGTTTTCAATCATCCCGGCTTCAGTGTGTGTGTGACTTACACTTTCTTCTGGTTCCTTCAGGTGGAAGTCAAGCCCTACGTCTTGGATAATCAAATGTGCGACGAATGTCAAGGCACACGCTGTGGTGGCAAATTCGCACCCTTCTTCTGTGCAAACGTCACCTGTCTTCAGTATTACTGCGAACAGTGTTGGGTTCAAATTCACAGCCACCATGGACGAGAGTACCACAAGCCTCTGGTAAAAGAGGGCGCCGAACGGCCCCGCCCCGCCCTCTACCGATGGTAACTCTCTTCTCACCTCTGGTCGGTGGCCTCTGACTTTCTCGTCTCGCATATCTGCCCAGTCATTTTCGCGTTCTGGTTTCCCCCAGTTAATTACCGTACACTATGCTGCCTATCCTTTACCCCTTTTCCTGACTACCACAACGTTGGATTTTCCTGTGATCTATGTATCCTCCGCCGCGGATGGCACTCAAAAGCACGTAACGCCCAGAAGATTCAAGAAGTACAAACAGCCAGTGGTCGTTTTATGCAAGTACTTTCGCCTATTTCCCTCTACATATTATGTCACCATACTTACAGCAGTTTGTCGCGCCCTTGCTGGTCAGGTTCGGTTTGTTCCATTTTCTGCGCGGACTATCACCTTAGTGCTTGTCATACACCTTACGTACGGCCTCTTCAATCAACCCCTTCTTTCTCCGACGTTAACGAGAAAAGGCTCGCTGCGTTCGCTTGCACGGACATCTGCCCAACAAATATTTTTCTGTTCTGTTCGGGTTTTCACCCATTCCTATAACCGCAGTTCATACTCATTTAACCTTCTTTCATCTGGTGTCCTCATGCGACTTTGCGTCATAGTTGCGGCTTCAGCGTCCAATAGCATCACTTGTGATCAATTTCTTTCGTTACGCCTACCCGCCCATCCACCCTTTTTCTCTTCATCCCCTCATCGCACAGTATTCGTGAATCTCTCCAATTAGCTTCGGATATAAAAACTTCACTCGCGCGTAACGAGAACATTCGGTAGTTTTTATCCCTGGCTTACGCATTTTTGAGTTACACTCCCCACTTCTGTAATTGATTGAATTTTGGATATCTATTTTTTGTTACGTCTTTTGCATGTTTTCGGTTATGTGAGCTTTTTATTCGTTTCTTTATACCCAAATATTTTAATTTACCCAGCATGCCCCAACGAACAATCCTTCCAGTTTGTAACTTCCCCCCCCTCCCCGCCAATAACAATACGGCTTGTGTTAATTTTGTCTCAGTTCCGGGCGTTTATTTACTGTAGTTTTCTAGCTTCGTTTCTCCTCGAGGACTTGGCATTCACAATTCATACACCCTCACTGCCAATCGTCAGTATGGAGACTTTCTATTTTCTGTTGTCCCCCTCCACTTCCGTTCGAGTTCTTGATTCACCTTCTGTACAGCTTACTCCGCATCTACAGCCCTTGCGTGTGTTTCCTACTCCAGCCTTGTAGTCCTTAGCTCATCTGTTATGAGTGTTAAACCCTGTCGGACCATCTGTTGCTAATGCTGGCGATGACTATGCCAGGCTTACCCTTGCTGCAAGCGCTACGATCTCCCTGCTCATTGTCCCCCAACACTACGTACGATGAGTATGCTCCGCACGCGAATATGCCGAGGTCAAGGTCTGTCAGCCTCTTTATGCACAACCATGGGCCGCGGCCAACTGCGTATGTCCGAGAGTTGCCAACTCCTGTTCAATTTATTCGGCTGCCTTACCCCCCTCTGTGACAATCACAACTTTGAGTCGACTGCCAGTGAGTGTTTTCTTCGAAACTGTCCACCTCATCCGTTGGTTACTTGCCTGCACGCTATAGTTGCTCAGTTTTATATATCAGCCTTTTCATTCAATTTTGTTTCCTTTTGCTAATATTTCGCTTTTGTATGCACGCACGACACGCGCACGTGACCGCACCTTCCCCTCAACATGTCCTGGACATTTATTTGGTACGAAAAACTTCTATCCACCTTCCAAGCCACTCGCCCCCTTTTTTTTCACCGGTCTACGCTTTTCAGCATCCACACACTCGGCAGTTTCCAGAATTTCAAAGGAAAGTGAAGCTTCCTGCACACAATCTAATCGCACTGCGAACGGCAACCTCGGAGGTTTTTTTTGAAAAAATACGTCTTCCTTCACATAACTGTATCTTGCCCAAATGGCGCCAGCCGCACATGCTCCAGGGGCTTGTAGCAGCTAGCATGCGTGCTTGGGCTTGGGTGGGTTGCTGTACTTGCTTTATTTTTTGTTACTTTTCTCAATCCATCGGCATTGCTACGGCATGATTCCTAAGAATCATCCCGCGTTACGGGCTTAGAACCGGTCTAATTTTGCTATGTTGGTGCTTATCTGCATGCGTTTTTGAAAGGACTTATTTTCATAGATTTTTAATGAGCTTCTTTGTATCCGTTGTCATTTGTGAGTTTGTTTTAGTCATTCTTGGTTATTTTTTATCGGTTTTACAGCTTCGGTTTGTAACAGCATTTTAGCCCCCCTTTCTAACTCTCGCCGTCCATCCTTCCACCTCTTGCTTCGAACTTCATGTCCCTATCTTTCGAGTCCTTTCTAAGCCCCTCTCTTTCTCCCCGCTTGCTTTCTGATGTCTCTCTCTCTCGCGCCTGTCGAGCTTTGCGTGCGCTCATCAACTATGCCAGTTCTGAACTGCTGCCACCAGTGTCACTTTCAGTGCTACCTAAACTCGTGGATTGTAAAGCGTCAACATTGCTTCGGAGGCAGCGGCCTGTATGCGCTTGCGCGCTAGTTTCTTGCTGCTGTGAAGTAATAGTTGAACATGAGATGCGTTTCGAAGGCCTGTCTCTTCCTCCGCCTTTTTCTCAAAAAATCAACGTGCAATCCACCCTCCAGTTTGCAGTCTGAAGCACCGGAAACAAGATTGTGATCTCCGTCCCTTTTGCTGGGGCATACTTTCCTTGAAATATTTTTCTATCATACCCGCCTCCCTTTCACCATAACAGGTAACATGTGATCTCTGTCCACACCTCACTCACTCTGCGCACTAATAACGTTTCCTTTTGCTTTATTCTAGACTAGTCTATTTTTATCATCAGTTGCACAAGGAATATTCACACGCCACTGTTGCTTTTGTGCCATTTTCAGCATCAGTTTATTTTCACCAGTGCTGTACCCGCGTTTAAAGTCTACTTATCTCGTAAAAACAATGCTAGTATGCACCGTAATTTTGTTCTCTCTAAGCCCTCTCTCTCACCAGGTTTCTCCCTACACCGCCCCTCTCGAAAGACGTTTGTTATGCCGATCCCTAAGGCTGTTTTGTGGCAGATCAGCGGTGAAGCGGCTGCGTCTGCTCGCTTTCCTTTGCATTAATAAGTTAAATCCAAGAACGCGTCTTTTTATTTCCTGTTACTATTCCGCCTTTTCCTTGTTAGTGGGGACCTATGCATAGTTTTGGCTCCTTGCTAACTCCCTCATCATTCCATGTGCGTCTTCGACTGATGTTGGATTTAAGAAATAAGGGTTGCACGCTTTAGCAGCATTACCATATTACAGATGTTGCTCTCCATCAGATAAGGTTTCGTCTCATCTCCAGCACCATTCTTTGCCCTGTAATGTCCATCATCACCTACAGGAACCACGGAAAGTAACCTATCAGTCGCTGTTTGGCGAGTCACGGCATAACGAGCTCCCTTGACGACCGAAAGGCCACTGTCTGCATGCTCTCGTTGGATCTGTCAGTGGCTTCGCAAAGTCCTTTCCGACATGGCAACCATGCTGAGATTAACAAGCTACCTGTCCAATTGGTTGCCCGAGCCGAGCTATAGGTTAAGAACTATTGCTGATAGAGGCGAACAGGCTAGTAATCATCACGTCAACATCCAACACGGATGATGAAATTGCCGCAATTACCGACTCGGACGCGGACTGACGAGCCATAATCACCTTAATTACGATCCCCAGCGGTGGTCTCGAAAGCTATTAATTATAGTGCCATGTGGCCCCACGGCAGCTACGTCCTACAAGTACTGCAGTCTTTTGTGCCTCCACTACCCTTATCCGCGACCGTCTCTGATGATGCGTTCAAGTGAGAATCCGAAACTTCAGGCCAATAAACTTCTTGTTCCACGGATTGCATCTTCTTCTGGAGAACTATGTTGCATCAGACCGCCGCGTGCCCGATAATGTAATGCTTGGGTTCTTATATCTGTAATGGATTAGCCTTGACAAATCCTATCGCTCCTCCGGGCAGTCACGCGTTATGGACTTCACTACTTGCCACTCGTTGATGCATTTGGTAGCCTACAGCGAAGCTAACTGGCGGGCGTCATCTTCCCGGTTGAAATACTGACTACTATATGGGTCATGATATGCTTTCTCTTGGGTTGGAAAGGGTGTTGTATGACAGTCTCCCCCATCACGACAATTGACTTGCCATCATCCAGATACTCCGAAGTCTGCGCGCTTATATAAACTGTCAGGTATTTTATTTGGATACAAGGACGCTTTAAAATATTCAGCTTTCGCTTTTTTAGCTAGTGATACTTGTGGGAAACACTAAGACACCCCAGTCGCTTTCGCGATGTCTGGTCCCGATTTTCGCTGCCGGAAATGTGTCCTTACGACTCGAGTTCGGTTTTACTATGGCCTAGGAGTTAACAAACGCATTTTGCAACAGAAAAGACTGTGGCCTTTATCTTCGACATCAGCTGGCAGCTGGAGTGATGACCATAACATCTACATTGAGTCAGCAGTGTTTCAATAATAGACCATTTAGCTCTTGCTGACTGAGATGCACAAACAAACAAATCCAGTTCGAGAATGGAACGCGTGGACCTGCGTGACAGGGCTATAAGTGTGGAGCTCCTCTACCATTTAAGCGTTTGACCTAGTCGTATGCGTTCTTTCAATCTATTTAGTTAGTTTTTTAGGCCTTGAAAAGTTATTTCGCTTAGAGAGCTTTCTCCATCCAGGGGATATCCTGATTCGTAAAATCGTTTAAGTTACGTTGCCCACCTGCATATAAAGTACTAAGCGTGTTTTCTCGACTGGGTACATTTCGGATCGCACAGTTTCTTTTTGTATCATTTAAAAAAGTATGTTTAAAGTCTTACTAATCTTTATAAGAAGACGAGAATATTTTCAATGGTGTGAAGGTGAGCGGCTCAGGGTGATCATATGGGGGCGGAAAGTGATTCCCCGAACAAGCTGGCGTTTCGTAAGGCTATCGCCCGTCCGTTGTGAAGGCATGTACTGTATAAAGAGCAGTTGCGAAGAGCTTTTTGCGATTG